AAGGTGCGTTCCTCTATGTCTTCCTACCAATATGACCATGTTGCGAGAACAAGGTCAAACAACCTCTATACAAAATTTGTTGCTCCGATATGACATGAGTGGGGGGACAGGTCGAGTGTAGCACCAAAGAAGAAACCTGATTCGTAGTTAATGGGGGTGAGAACGCCAGCGTGGAGCGTGGAGAGTTCTCATGAAAGACGCTCAAAAGGGCACACCACACCAAATTTAAATTAGCAAGTAAAAATTGTGAGAGTGAAGGCGTGATACGAGGATATAGGAGAGATGAATGGCCCAGGACAGGAGAGATACCACAACTGTATGGAGCACAATTGGTCAAATGATCGGCTTCACTTGTCTCTTTGACAATTTGCAGTGTGATGCTAAGAATGGCAAGACTCACTGACGATGTCGGCAAAACATCTGGAAATGTACCACATCCACGGTGCGATTTTGGAAATTATCATGCATGGAAGAGACTCCGGACTAGGTGCGTTCTTGCAAGTCTCTCTACCAATATGATCAAGTTGCGCAAACAAGATCAAACAACTTCTATACAACGAAAGGAGACAGCGACTACACAAAAGGCCATACTGCCTTGGTCTTCATACCTTCGATTAATAGTAATGGATGCTTACACTCACAGTGGAAGGGGATTTTATTTAACCGTATCGGGAGATGGGCCGAAACAAAAAAACCTCACGTCGCTAATTGGTGTATAAGAGTTTTAGGTATGCTAGGCAGCGAATGTGATTCGACAAAGAATAATTGAGATAAGCTAGTTCGTACTTAGATTTCGAGCTTTCATGGGTCATATCCACAATTCCAAATAAATTCGAAAATGTATGCCTGACAGACGAGATGCTTACGTTGAAAGGGTATAGCTTAATTTGCTTTTCAATTAATTTTAAAATAAAAATGTAACCCTAGACAATTAAGTATTACAGAGTACATCTGCATAGCTCAACCTACACTGTTATACAATGGAAGACTCAACAAACAAGGTTTAAAAAATAAAACGACTTCCAAATAAATAACTTTAGAGGAAAAGATATTGAAATATATATTATATGCTTAAATTAAAGAATACAAACAAGAGTAATCGAAATAAATCTAAAAAAAGTTCATAAGCTAGTTTGGTTAATATACAACTTGTCTGAAAATATGCGCAATGCATTTTGAAAATTGATTATTGATTATTATTATATATATATTTTACGACAATAGATTAAATTCTGTCTTTAAAAATATTTCTAAATAGGTTATGGCTGTCCAATTGGCCAATTCATATACGCAAAAAATGAAGTGACTCGCCACAAGTCCTCACCATTGTACTTTAATAAAATTTTACAGCAACACAAAGCGGCATATAATTACGAAAAATACAAATCGGCCTCAATAGTAAGTTACAAATATTAGGATTCATTTATTTTAAAAATGCAAAATACATTAAAATTTATTGGCATCTGGAATATGGAAACCAAGTATTTTGCACAAGTGGGTTGACCTCATCTTCGCAACCTGATCTTGTTGTCAGAATGACTTAGTTAAACGCACTTGCTCCCAAGTCCTCTGTCATAGTAGTTATCCTGATTCCCAGCATCAGACCGTGGACTTGGTACATTCTCAGACGGTTCGCCGGCATCGTAGTCAATCCCTCGTCCAACGCTCTGCTGAAAACGGTTACACTATCACTCTTCTTTCTGCCCTGGCCCATCTATCAACTTTTTACTCTCTAATCCAACTCCCACCTTTCACTACTTCTGATTTGTTTACATTTCACTCATCAAAATGTGTGCCCTTTTTTGGCAAATTTAATGTGGCCCCATCACACCTATTAACTTTGGCCCCCTCTCTTTCGATCGGCTAGTCTGACTCGGGCCTCCTATCCGGATCTCCATCATGGTCCCGTAGATCCACTTTTTATCTTTCTGGTTGACCGATTTCACTCAGGCCAGGCGCTATTTCTCAAGGCCCTATTTCGTTTAAGTTGATGAATTTTCCCACTGATAACGTCTTCGCCCGAATCGGATTAGCCGATCGAAAGAGAGGGGGCCAAAGTGGATAGGTGTGACGAGGCGAGACTAAATTTGCCGAAAAAGGGCTCACATTTTGACGAGCTGAACGTCAACAAGTCAGAGGTTTTGATAGGGCGGGAATTGGAGGAATAGATAGATGAGCTAGGACAGAAAGAGAAGTTATATTGTTACCGTTTCGGCAGAACGCTGCTGAAGGGATTGACTTCACTTGTCTCTTTGATCAATTTGTATCTTCGTACGGAGACGGGCAAGACTCATTGGTGATGCCGACTACGATGCCGGCGAAACGTCTGAGAATGTACCAAGTCCACGGTCTGATGCTGGTAATTATGATAACTACCATAGCAGAGGACTTCGGACAAAGGGCCTTCAACTAAATCTTTCTGACAACAAGACCAAGTTGCGAAAACGAGGTCAACCCATAAATATAAATCGAAAGGAGACTGCGATCATACCCAGGACCTTACCATCTTGGTCTTCATATCTTTAAGTAGTTTGTGGTTAAAACGAGCTGTATCCATCACCAGATAAATAAATAAAACACTTAACAATATCATTATACCATAAATGAAATTTAAAAGATGACTGAAAATGAGCATATGCTTTAGACACAAGAAAATCTAAGTATACAAAAGCTCATCAAATAGATAACGGTAAATTTGCGGCTTCCCCTCTCATTTATCTTTTTGTTTAATTAGCATACACTCATATATTAGCACCGTGAAAGTTTATGCAATACTTTCTCATGACTACGAAGCAACCAACTGTTTGAAAATCAGTCTATCGAATAGAGATAACAACTTTGTTTCTCATAATCTATTTGTCCTTTAAAGTCAGCATTCTTTTTCAAATAGGTAAGCCTTCAAAATACATGGGTAATTGTCTGCTGCCGACCCGATATTCATTCAAAAGCCATATAACCTGAGCAAGATAAAAAAATTATGGTAAAATATCGAACCCAGCAAATCTGGTAACTAAGATAGCTACGGACATGAAGTGATGAAATACATATCTTCGATTGTACTAATTTAAGGTAATAATAGCAAGATACTCTCAGAGCCAAGATGATGATCAGGAGTGAAGTAAGTATACTGGAACCCACCTATAGCCGGAGGCCCGAAAATGTTGGCGAGGCCTTGGAAGAAAAGGCATATTCCCAGACCGTTCGTCAGTCGAGACAGGCCAAGAAACTCGACTAGCAGAATTGTGCAGAGTGCATCGTTGACAGATAAGGATAAACCAAATACGGCTAAAGAAAAGGAAAAAATGCTCATGGAAAGGTAAAAAAGATATGAAGAAGCCAGAAAAAAGGATAAACG